CCTGAAGTTCCTTATCTTAGTGCGATAGACGCTTTATTGTACTTTGCTTAATGCAATAGACCCAATATCTCATTCGCTGTTAATCTTTTGGCAAGATACAGTAATGCACCAACACGCATACATTAGACTGGTGTTAAAGACATCTTCCACTACCTTAAGGGTACTACAGATTTGGGCTTGTTCTATCCCTATGGATCCTTGAGTCATACCGCACCCCCTTATCTCAAGTCGATTCTCGCCTTATTGGTTATGCTGATGCATGATACTTATCTGAACCGCACAAGGCGCGCTCTCAAACGGGTTATATCTTTACCGTTTGAGGCACCACAATCTCTTAGAGGTCAACTAAACAGACCTTAGTTGCCACTCCGTATAACCATGCTGAAATTCTCGCCTTACATGAAGCAACTCGGGAATGCTTTTGGTTGAGAGTAGTTGTGGGCCATATTCAAAGCTCCTGCAATCTTTACCTCGTCATTGATGTCTCGACAACAATTGATGAAGACAACGCAGCATGCATCGAACAGCTCAAGAAAGGTTACATCAAAGGAGACAACACCAAGAACATTGCGCTGAAGTTCTTTTGCTCACATCAACAACAAGAGCATCAGAAGATTGAAGTCACATAAATCCGTTCACAAGACAATCTGGCTGACGTCTTCACCAAATCACTATCGAATGTGACGTTTTAGAAGCTTGTTCATGGAATTGGTATGCGTAAACTTTCTGAGTTGTAACATTGCTAGTTCTCTTTGGAATTATGTCAAACTCAGGGGGAGTATCCTGAAGTATACCTGCTTGATCTTAATGTACTCTTTTTCCCTACGATTAGGAGCATTTTTCCCACTGGGTTTTTACTACCTAACTAGGTTTTAACGAGGCACCCAGCTTAGGTTGATCATATCCCTGATGATGTCCTGTAGATGTTTCATTTGACTTTGCATTACTCATGCATTTTTCCTTAGACTATGGATTTTGTCCCTACTCAGGTTTTTGCCATAGCCATAGGATTTTTTGTGAGACTTACTTCCTTATGCAAGTTCATACCTTATTTGAGAATAGCCTGTTCCCATAATCAGTGTCGACAAGTCGACTTCCTCAACTTCTACATGATGCCGAATCTTCCTTGAGTATTTAAACATTCGAGGGGGAGTGTTATAAACTTTCCTAGTTTAAGTGTGATTGTGTAAATCCTATATTAGATTTGATTCTAGTTATTCTTTCCTATATGAACTTGAATTCCTTGGGGATGAAGGATTTCTTCTCCCTCATATTACTATAAATAAAGGCACTACATAGGAGGGAATAGCACACACATTTCTCCATACAATTCTACAAACACATCTCTCTCTTTTCTCTCCTTGCCGCCGGCCCCCTTCCCTTTGTCAGATAAAATGGGCCACAACACTTTCAGACTTGATCTCTTGTATTTGGATCATATTTTGATATCTGAAGTGGAGGAGTATATTCCGTTAATTTTCTCTTAAATTACCTCCCCATAACTGTTTCAAAAAATACAAGGGAAAAGAGTCAACATAATACAATTTTTATCAAATTAACCACTGACTCAACCAAAACTAGAAGGAATTAAAAAGAACTTAATTCCACACTCCAGTCTTCATTTCATTATCATAATATAAAGCCAAATATTCAAACCATCTAAACGAATGATTAGAAATTAACCATATATTGCCAATTCCTAATTACCGCATATAAATTCAATTCAAAAGTTCCAGTGAAGAGTCAAACTAAATTAATTGATGAAATTGAATGAAACCTAAAAATCCAAATAAATCTAAGATGAGAAAAAAAAAAAAAAAAACAAACCGATGATTGGGAATTCAGGATTCCCTAATGGTACATGTCATGACCTGTCCCTGAAATTAGAGTATTTTAACCTTCAAAGGTGGGAAATGGCCAAATTGCCCATAGAGGAGAAAATATTGACTTTTGTTGACTATTGGGCTCATGACACGTATGACCTATTCTCTTTAGCACACTCTCGTAGTGCTCATTGATACTAATGCGTGAGCACAAGAAGAGCGAAAATTGAAGTTAGAATGAGATTGTACGAAACACAAACGTTAAGAGTATTTTAGTAATTTTAAGAGTAAAGAGTAAAGAGCAAGAATAATAATAAGGCTACATTTTTATTTTATTTTATTTTTTTGTGTGGTCTCTATGATGAGATTCTAATTTTGATCCAACCTCTATGGTGAAAAGTAGTTAATCATAACCATGTGGTCAGGTTCATTAGAGAAACTCCAGCGTAGGAAGGTCCCCCAGGGCAACTGCCTATTGAATCCCCTCCAGTGAACAGTAACTGCCTTTAATGAACAGTAATTACCTTTTGCATCTCCACCTCTAACTGAATGGCCATGACAATAGGCAATAAAATATTAGTATTTTTTATTTTATAAAATAATACAAAATAATTTTATTTGTAATTTCGGATAAGATTTTTAATTGTTCTCGTTGCGCCACGTGTTATTATCCGAAAAGACAATTTTTGGTGATAGATTGCGATAAGATTTTTATCCAATGTCGTCGCGCCACGTGTCGTTACCTTTTCAGAATCATTGAGGATAGATTTCTGATAAGATTTTTAACCAATCACGTCGTGCCATATGTCACAATCTGTTTACAATCTTTAAGGATATATTTCGGATCATGAGTAACTTCAACCTAGCTAGAACACAACGTAACATCTTCAATAAGCGTCCAATTCGTACCTGCATCATTAGCCATTTTGTTGGAAACAAAAGTACATAGAAACTTTGAGAAAAAGATTGGAATGTGGTTGAAAGTATTTTAGAAAATATGAAATTGTGGTGTAAGGTAGAAGATAATGAGAAGGTATTTATAGAAAAGTAAAATCAAAATTTTGTTTTCAGATTTTTTTATTAATTTTTAACATTTTTATTAACTTAATTTCCAACTCTCCATATTGTGCCACGTGGCACAACGATAATATTTCTTATTTTTTTTCCTTTTTTTCTTTTAATTTTTTTAATTTTTAAAGCCGAATAACGTAGACCGTTGATCTGGAATCCAATGGCTGATATTGTGCCACGTCATCTAGCTGTTTGGGGGAGAAGATGCCACGTGCCCCCAGGAAACGGTAACATTTCATAAATCAAACCACGGGCCCCACCAACTGAAAAGCTGTTGGTGACGCGCCCCCACGCGCACTTGTGCGACACGCGCCTGAAGCAAATTTTTTTAGAACGTGGTTGACATCACCCTAACGTTAGCCTTGCATCATCCGGCCTCAGGCGCTCAGGCCTGCGATTCGAGCCCTCCTTCTCACTTGGGCCCCTCCTTAGCCCAATCGCCCGCATGGGCTGGAGCAAGGAAGGGAGGCAATTGGATTGAAAAAGTCTTGTGTCCACCAGGCTACTACAAACACTAGAGTTGCTCATAGCAATGTCAATCCAATTAGCAATTTTCATGATTATTCTATTACATCTCCACTAAAATGCAAGGACAAAAATGTCCTTCAATCCAATTGGTTGTCTCAACCAATTATATATTGCCACATGGACAAGTAAATTTTTTTAAATTTATTTTTCAGAACTGAAGGAAAATAATATCCAAAATTCCTTGTTATTGTAGGATAATTAATATGCACTAGGTGCTGTAGGCCTAGGTTTACTTGCACTCCAAGTCATTTGACTTGTATATATTTGTAATGTTGCGAATCAATGAAATCAAGGAATTATATTTCCTTGTCCCGTCAACTGGTTCTCAAGGAAGGAATTAGAATGACAGTCATGGAAGGTGTTCTTCGAAATCAACCTACCTTGCCCCAACAACCACTGTAACCCATAGCGATGTAGACAGCATGTGTTGCCATGCACGAAGTCATTTCCTGAAACGGAGATGGAAGACAATGCCAAGAGAGAGCAATTGATCATTTATTGTTGAAGAGGGGGATGTTAGCGGGGTTAGATACAGAAGGAGCTGGTGCGTGCCTGGGGAAATAGAGATGGAGAGGGTGCCGATGAGAGTCATGGATCCGTGGGAGGGGTGGTGGGCAATCGGAGCGGCGGTGTCAAAAGAATTAGCCTCCCTGCAATGGGGAATGCATATTTGTTGGAATATGATTATGATAACATGGTTTTCACAATATGTGTAATCATATGTGAAGGTATACCATAACATTGGTATACTAATATACATATGATTGTAGTGAAATAAGTTAATTAATTAATAAAGAAAATAATATAATTAATTAATTAATTAATTAAAGGATATGAACAGTTATATTCCAACCTGAGAAGTTATAACTTCTCCTGAAGAACACAACTTCTCCAGAAAGGTTACTTGCATATCTATATATTTGTAAATCCCTTTCTGTCAGAATACACATTTGATTCTATATTCACTCTGTTCATATCCTTCACACTATATTGTGATCGATAGTCCAACGACATCCGTTTCCCGATCCTGTTAATATACAATTTCCATCAATATTAACATCTTAATGTTAAGTACAATTCATAGTATCACCAAAACAGCTAGAGAAGCGCAAATACGTGAGCAGCATTGCTTCATATTCTTCATATGACAACTGACTGCGTCAACCCTAATTTCCTCCTGCGTCAGTTGTTGGAATTAATGCTATGTTGATTAGGTTCAAGTTTGTGTATGTTCGTAGCTTTTGATAATCATATATCACTGAATTGTGTATTTAAGAGAATGTATAAATTCAAAAACCGTAATTTGAATTTATTCAGAAATCATATTCAGATCCTTTTATTTATTTTTTTTTTATTTTATAACTAAGCAGGTTTTTCTTGAATAATTATAAAGATTGTTCAAAATGTTAGGTGCTGACCTTGATAAATTAATAATTCATTTATACATTAAAAAACTAGAACATATATATACATAATTTGACATTCTACATTTCCAAATGGAATGCACGTCTAAGTAGTGCTCTTCCACCCATTTGGTTTTCCTATATATATTTGCCTCCTGCTTAATCTAGAGAGAGAGAGAGAGAGAGAGAGAGAGAGAGAGAGAGAGAGAGATCAGGAGAAAGATGAGAACCATGGTGGTGCTGATATTTGCAGTGGTGCTGATTGCAATGGGTTGCAGCAGCATCCACACAGCTGAAGCTTCTAATTATGAAGAACCCAAAATCAAAACCATACATGTAGGTGGCAAGGTACTATGCCAAGATTGCACCCAAGGTTGGAACGAATGGGTTCACGGTGCCAGACCCATCAAGGGTATATATTTTTTTAATTATATACGTGTCATCACTTAACTGTAGACATGTCATATAAGAAACATTTCTTTTTTAATTATCATCACCTGAAGGTTATCTTTAGAAAAATTTGTTCAAATTTCATACCATTTAGTTATCTATTTGAATCAAAAGAAATTGTAGGTTCATCACTTGTCACCATAATCATGATTAACACATAGTTAAACGGTGTCATGTTGGTGAGAAAAGAGGAACTCCTTCATGAAAATGAGGGTTATGGTCCTTTTTCTTGGTCATAAATGAAGGTATATATAAATGAGTTGGGCTAGTCACAGTTATGAATGCGTAGTTTAGTGTTAATCGTTCATGCATTGTAAAATATATGTGTAATAATGGGTAACAATCACGGATAGTGAAGATTATGAATTTAATTAAAAGTATTGGTGCAGGTGGGAAGGTGTCAGTAACATGCATGGATGACAGAAGCAGGGTTGCTTTCTACGGAAGCGATTTGACGGACGAGAAAGGCCAATTCGACCTGATCGTGAACAAGTACACGATCAACGACAAAGAAGTGAAAGCCAGTCGTTGCTCAGTGAGGTTGGTATCTTGCCCAGATGCCACGTGTAACGTTCCGACTAATTTCGGCAGAGGCCGGTCAGGGATGAAGTTGAACCGGCCGAGTTTTGTGTACAGAGATTTGGTGAAGTACACTCTTGGTCCATTCTATTACACCAGTCCTATGTGTGAAAAATTTGACACTACTCATCCTGATCAGTCTAATAAAGGTTGAGGAAATGGGCGCAACTATTAATTAATATCTTAAATACGTTTGTTTTTTTACTACTGTTTTTTTTCTACTGTTTTTTTTCTTTTTTCTTATGCAACTTTTCCCAATGGTTTTGTTTCAACAATTGTAATTGGATGAAATCAAATATTTCTTAAGAGGGAAATGATTTTTAGACATTATTTTTTACTTTATTTACATTCGTGTTAATTTTTTGTCACTTTGATTCCGTGTTGATATACTACATTTAGAACCCATAGATAAACTAGAGAAAATACATTGTGACAATCATTTTCCTTCTTGAGCATTTGGTCAACCTGATAACTAATTGAGCCTAACCACATTAACTCGAATTCATTTTAAGTTGGATTGTGGGACTATTTCAAAATTCCCCTCCATCTCTAACCTTTCCTCCCATATGCCTTCTGGAAAAAAGAAACCCTCCTAGCTACCGCTCCTTGCTTTGGCTTGGGGTTGGCGGCAGCCTGACTCCTATCTTTTTCTAGCCATCTTTCCCTTTTTCCCTTTCTTCCCCACCCTTTGCATCTTCCATCTTTCCCCATCTTTCCCCCATCCTTTCCCAATCCTTCCCACCTATTTCTAGCCCTCCTTCCCTTTTTCCCATCCATCTCCACCCTCTGTAATCTTCCCTCTTCCCCTTTCATTCCACTCAAAAAGTTGTTTAATTTCTAAACTTTTTCTCTTTTGGTCATTGTTTTGGCTTCCCTTGAGCTTTGTCTCAATTCCCATGAGCTAGTCTCAGATATGGACCTTCATGGACCTCTCCTGCTTATGTGCTACTTTACGTCACGCATCCTCAACCACCAGCCTTTGCTACTCGGCTCGTGTGCTTCTCCTCAGGTGTTGGGTGGCTGTTAAAGTGATTTTAGCACTATCTGGTTGGATTATGGGTGCGCTCACTGCGTGGGTGATTCGCTCACTCCCATTTTCTGTTGATCCAATTGTTTCGTTGGTTCATTCTCTTGGTGGTGGTGGTGACCTTGTGATGGAGGCATATCTGGTGGCTGCTGGTTTCCATTCCAGTCTTAGGATTTTTGTTGTTGTTGTTGTTTAGCTGGTCACTTTTTGGCCTATCCAATCTATTTTCTTATTTGATGTTAGGCTTGTATTTAGGTTGCTCTTTTCCTTGTACTTATCTTTTTATTTAATGGAAGTAATTTAGTTTGACAAAAAAAAAAAGTTGGATTACGTTTAAACCTTGGTGATCCAAACCAAATTGTAAAAAGATGGATTAGAATTGAAATATGCTCAATTCGTCGAAGTTGCATAAGAATTTACATAAAATGAATTCACTGTTATCAAGCGCTTTAATCTAATAACTCTTTAATATATATAAAATTTTCTTTCACATAACAATACATCAATCGATTGGACACTACAGTTGTAGGATAGTCATTGTGGATTGTCTGCCCTTCCATTTCCATACTCTTCCCATCCCTTTATGTTTGTGTGGTCACAGTTAAGCCACGTCAACATTTTATATTGATTTTTTTTTATAAAAATAATAAAACAAAAAGTAATAAGAATATAAAATGTTGACGTTGCTTAACCGTGACCACACAAAACAGAAGGGAATGGAAAAAGTATGAAAATAAGAGGGCAGACAATACACCTCCTTCCATATAAGTCACTTTCGAGTTGCACGAGTCCGCAAACCCCCATCAACTCTCTCATACGTTGGCCACCGTATGTGTGAACCGCGCTAGGTCTTAAAAAGAACCCTACTCTAGTCTTACTCTACTCCGCGTAGGTCACGGACACTAGACTTCCTGCCAAAATTAATATTAATACCAAAACCTCACGCAACATCGCTATCCAGAATGGCGGCAAACCAAAACGACGATAGATCAGTACCACTGCCGTCTACTGTTGGACTGGCACTCAACATTGCCGACCTGAACATCAATAGAGAAAACATGTTCCTCGACGATCCCGAGGACTTATACATCAATGCCGTACGACCTCTCTCTCTCTCTAAAATCTAATTAGGGTTTTCATACAAATAAGGCTGACATTTTTAGGGTTTTTCTAATTGGGGTTTGAATTCGATTTAGGTGGCCAACAACACGCTGTACGCGTCGGCGATTACATTCGAGGAGCTGAATCTGTTGCCGGAGGTGATACGGGGGTTGTATAGAGAGATGGGCTTCAAGAGGCCCAGTAAAATTCAGGCAATCACTTTGCCAATGATTTCGTCCCCTTCGTACAAAGACCTCATTGCTCAGGCGCACAATGGCACGGGGAAAACCATTTGTTTCGGGCTCGGGATGTTGTGGCGGGTTGACCCGAACCTCCGAGCACGTCAGGCGCTGCATTTGCCCCACAAGGCCTTGAAGGTATTCCAATTTTGGTTTTTTTTTTCTTATTTGGGAAAATTATATGCACAAATGTATTTTACAAACTTTTGGAGCATTGCCCTTAAACTACGGTCGAATTAGAGCTTTGCTCCTTGAAATTCTTTTTTAAGTGTTGATTCTTCAACTTGTCACAATGTGAAGCAATGGTTCTTTTAGGCAACTCCGTTTTGTGTCCGAGTTGGATGGAAGTCGGTGTTACAATGCTTACAAGAAGTTTACGGATCAATACTCACTAATTTTTAGTTAACAAACCAATACTTGTGAAATTTTAGTTTACAGACCAATACCTCACGAATTTCTACTTTCTCTAAACAAATAGAATTTTTTTTCTCGGAAAGGGACGTGGAACATTACGATAAAGGAACAAGCTTTATGATGAATAATGTGAAAATTTGAAGTTTTGTTTATATTTATAGAAAGGGGATTTATTGAAACCAGTTTGTATGGATGGGTTGTATGTATGAGTTATCATCCTCACTTTAGCTAAGTCATAGGCTAAAGTCACTTTCCATAGCTTGTCATTCACCTTACATCAACCTCACTTTCCATAGCTTGTCATTCACCTTACATCAACCTTTCCATAGCTTGTCATTCACCTTACATCAACCTTTCTTAGTTGCTTGTAAAAGCTTCTTTACTTGTAATTTGGTTTTTGCTTTCCCACTTGTTAGGGTAGATTTTAGGGATTGTGTTTGTGTAGTTATCCTACAATCTATTTTAGCTTTCTTTTGGCCCTCTATAAGAGTTGCCTTCACTCTCTTGTAACATTCATAATGAAATATACAACAAATATTGAAACCAAAACTCAACATGGTATCAGAGTAGGAACCATAGGGTCCTGACTTTGTTCTTTTTTTTACTTTTTCATTTGCTCATCATCGATAGAGATGGCAACAGAAAATGTGTCTAGTGTCGACAGTGCCTCATCCTCCTCCCCAAACTTAACCTAAGGGGTTGAGAACAATCCAAATCAATGACTCTGCTCGGGGCTACTGAACGAGTTCAAGTACCTTCATTGGTCAAGAGCTATGTCACTTGCTCTAAGAGGAAGATCGAAGCTAGGGTTTATCAATGGCAGATCTGAGCCCCCAGAATCCACTTCACTAACTTACGATGCATGGCATACTACTGATCAGCTGGTCATGTCCTGGTTACTTAACTCCATGGAGCAAAAACTGTCTGAGATTTTCAGCTACTCAGAGTTTTCCCTTCTCCTATGGGAGTTTGTCAAAGACATGTATGGCATCCAAAACAACTCAGTTCGAATCTTTCAACTGAAGAAGAGTGTGGCTAGTTTAAAGCGAGGTGATCACTCATTTGTTCAACACCTTGGAATTATGAAATCCATGTGGAATGAACTCGATATGTATCGTCCACACACGACTGATTCCGCTGTGCTACTGAAGAGGGCTGATGAAGACAAGGTTTTTCAACTCTTAGCAAGCTTGGGAACAAAGTATGAAGACTTACGTAGTCACTTGTTAATGACTTAAGAGCTGTCTTCCTTTACCACTGTGTGTCATGCAGTCCAGAGAGAAGAAACTCGACGAAGAGTGATGAACGTTGAGCCCAAATCCAACTCTGAAGCTAGGGTTTTCACGACAAATCACAAAGCAACTGGTGATAGGGTGCTTGGCAAGAAAGCAGATTGGAAATGTTCTTATTGCAACATGAAGGGACATTTGAGAGAAAAATGTTGGATTCTTCATCCGGAGTTAAAGCCTAAGTTCGATAGGGAAGGCAGGATGATCAAAGATGGGAAGGGTGGAGTCACTCTAAAAGCATTTCATTCAGCTTGTTCCTCAACTGATGGGATGGCCAATTTCTTAACAAATCATGTGTCCTTGATCAAAGAGTTTACTGCTTTTCTTTAAAAGAAGCAAGGAAGCACTGAACCTGATGAAATGACACCTGAAAACCATATTGCAATGCTAGGGAAATTTGCTGGATTCTTGGCTGACTCGGAGAACACATCGAAAGGCAATATTCCAGGTATTATCAGTGCCATTTCCACTGCTCTTAATGCAAATGTTACACATGATTTTTGGATTATTGACTTTGGTGCCACTGATCATATAACTAATAAACCCTCTAGTCTCGATTTTCAAATAACTATTGATCCAATTCATATATCTGTTGCAAATGGGAAAGGGGAACCTATTCTAGGGAAATGAAAGATTAGATTGCTAAGTGAGCATACTGATTCCACTGCTCTCTATGTACTTTATTTTCCTTTTTAGCTCTTGTCAATGGGAAAAATCACAAAAACCTTAGACTGTCTTGCCATATTTTCCCCACACAATGTTGTGTTTCAAGACCGAGTTACTTAGAAGAAGATTGGTGAAGGGTTCTTCTTGAATGGACTCCACTATCTCTCAAAGGAGTCCAATTTTGTCAAAAAGCTCAGTGTCAACTTAAGTCAAGTTCAGGAACACCAACTCTGGCATCAACGCCTTGCCTATCCCTTAGAACATGTGATGACCAAGTTGTTTCCCTTTTTTTGTAAAAACACACTGGAGTGTGAAACTTGTCAAATGTCAAAAGCCACTAGACTTTTTGAGCTTGTTCTAGAACTAGTAAACTTTTTGAGCTTGTTCACTCTGATATTTGGGGTCCTTCTCGTGTAGAATCCTTTGATGGGTATAGATATTATGTTACATTTATTGATGACTATTCTAGAGTAACCTGGTTGTATCTTTTAAAACTTAAAAGTGATTTGTTTGATGCTTTTAAGGACTTTCACAACCTAATCACCAATCAATTTTCATCTAAGTTATATATGTTAAGATCAGATAATGGTA